ACCCCCACCCCCGTGCACCAAAATGGGCGGGACAGAAGCAGAAGGTGGTTCTTAAAGAGACAGAGCCCAATTTCAAGGCGTTTAGAAGAGGAAGTGATGAGAAGATAAGTTTATTTTCTATTTAAACATAAAAACAACATTTTAATAACAACTAAAGGTGACATAGATACTTTATTATGGTATAGTATTTAAATATATACCTGAGAAACATAATAAGGGCCGAAAAAAACATAGAGTGCCTAATCCACATTGAAWGGAACTAAATTAAGAAGAAATATCAGGCTATAAAATAAATAAGGCCAACAGAAAAATGACTGGTGTAGAGTTGTCAAACTTTTTAGAGCTTAGTGTTGTGGAAAACAACTCTGAAACTTTAAAATATTCCTAATGTGAAGATGCGAYGTCACACAAATTATTAGTGATCTTGTTTTTTGTTCAACTAAAACACTAAAACARCAAAGTAAGTCTTTAACTGTGCAGCTTTTTGCACAGGAATATTCTGACATTAAATAAGCAGGTTTCTGAACATGATGCCCAGTAAACAGTTTTTAAACACAGCAGTAAACATCATAAGGTCATATTAGTAAGAAATAATAGAACTTAATTCCCATTATCATGGCTCTACAAATACTTTATTACCTTATTTAAGTAGAAATACTGCTTGTCTAAACTTTACTGGAGTAATTATTTTTCAACTTCTACTTCTTACATTATCACACAATTRTCTGTACTTTCTAATCCTTAGATTTGAAAAAAATGTGAAAATTATTTCATTTCAGCTAGTTTTCATTCTGCCTTGTCAGCACTTTGGTCTGCTGAAGTGCTTTACRAATAAAGTTGGACTGGTCATCATTCCAAAAATAATACTACTAATAGTCTATCCAGATATGTGGCATCTCTTGGATAGAATTAATTTAATTGAGGTTCAATGAGAAGTATAAATATATACCATTCTGACACCCTATTGATTTTATTGGGGTTGTGGACTATAGGCCCCTGTGGTGCGACATAGCTTTTATCCCTAATGGGTTTTTTGTTTGTTTGTTTGTTTTTTTACATTACATTCACTTTTATACTTTAGTTTTAAACCCAGTACTTTTACACTTTTTGAGTAAAAAGCTTTGAACGTACAATTCAACTTCTACAGAAGTCTTTTTAAACCCTAGTACTTGAGTAATGTGCATACTACTTACAACTCTGGTATGATATGACTTATACTTCTTTATTTGCACATTTTCATATCTGCATTTAGCTTTCATAAAAAAAATTGTCTAATTGACTGAATCACTGCAACCAGATGAGCCAGAATAGAAGTTTTTCCCCCCCTTTGAAACTGCAACATGTTATTCATGGTATTAATCACATTATCAAGCGATACAGTATACGTATCTGTGTCTAAGAGTTACATTTAGCTCTWAGCATTTTCTCAAATTCGCTTTTTTTGCTTGATGGATTCTGGAAGATTATTTTTTAGATGCTGAAAAGACAGAAATGGTCACTCTCATTAGGCACAGCAAGCAGGTTAGAAATAAACCATCTCACTTTAGAAAAAGCTTTTTGACTCACTCCTTCCAGAAAATACTAATCACTTCCTGCAAAGACTGAAGTCTTGCTCAATTGTTTGCTTTTAGCTCCAGCAGWAATCATCATGCAGTGCCCTTTTAGCCGCACTGTTTACAAGACGAGCTGACTAAAATGTTTTTCTCTCCATTATTACAAACAAGGGAGAGGAGGTTAATTAGAGATGTTCCTAAAAAGCTTTACRGAAAACAGCAGGAGCGACAGGATTAATCAGGAATTTGACAAGTTAATTATGTGTAAATAGAGTCCAGATTGTCTTCAACATCAGTCCAGGGACTTATTGTTTGGCTAGCGCAAAGAAAATAAGACAAAATAAAATGCAAACCGTAAAATATCTAAACCTACAATCACAACACAAAAACAGCAGCCCTCAGTTCTGATTAACAACAGAAACAAAATCCTGTGAATTTCAGGTTGAGTTCATTAAGAAATTTTGACAAGTTCAAAAAAGTGTTCAAAAACAATAAAACAAAAAAAGATGCAGGTGAAATTATGTTCTGTGCCTTTTAACTTGTTTTTGATCATATTATAATAAACCTGAAGCCATTAAACACTTAGAGGGATCCATGATTAGTTGTAACATTAGACTTTATTTGATAAACAT